GTCTCTTGCGTGCGAGGCCCTGAGTTCGATCCTCAGCACCACATATAAAGCCACAAAAATAAAGGTATTGTGTCCAAGTAAAAAATAAAAATAGTTTTTTAAAAAGTAAACCAACATTCTAATCAGCAACCATAAATTAGAATAAATTTTTAAAAAAGATATTTTTTAGTTGTAGTTGGATATAATACCTTTATTTATTTATGTTTAATGTAGTATTGAGGGTCGAACCCAGGGCCTTGCAAGTGCTAGGTGAGCACTAGAGTGCCCTATTTTACTTGGCCACTGGCTGAGAAGAGATCAGCACTCCAAATTCTGGACACCTCCTTACTAATTTTGCACAAATATATATCCAGTATAGTAGTTTGTAGAAATGTGTAAACAAGGTCTCTGGCCTTGAGCTGGAGCTTCACAGAGATGTCAACATTTCTAATATAAGAGAAGTTACCAATTTGGGCTTTATAGCAACAGCTGGGGGAGCGGGGCTGGGGGGAAGCTCTCCCCTTCTCAGTGCTGTCCTTTGTTGAGAGCCACAGCCAAAGGGACCCCAGCAAACTTCTAGCTGCCAACTGATTGGCTCCTCTGCGGTGATGCTCATTGGGCTGTTTCCCTGCCCTTTCAGACCACGGAGCTGCTCATTGGGGGACTCTTTTTGGCTCTGCCCCCATGACCCAGCCAATCTGCCTCAAAGAGCAGGAGGAGTGGGGGAGGTGGAGAGGCTTGTGGGAAGCTGGTGGTGGCAGTTGGGCTCTGAGGGTTTTTCCTGAAGAGCTGTGTGGTGCAGTGTGTGTGTTCTAAAAATAAAGTGCGTTTCTTTTGACAAGCGGCTCCTGAATTGTGCCCAGCCAGACTGCTGCAGTCCTTGAAGAGTTAACTTGCCTAGAACAGTGAAAGAAAAACTGCTTTTATGTGAACTTCTGCAGACTGTGAACTTCTGAGCCCCTTGTCAGCACATCATAAAAATAAATAAAATAAAGGTCCAATGACAACTAAAAAATAAATTAAAAATAGAATAAGACAGTGAGAGAGAGAACGCGGGAGAGAGAGAGAGAGAGAGAGAGAGAGAGAGAGAGAGAGAGAACACGGGCGAGAGAGAAGGAAATTAAATAGCAACTCTGGCTTGAAAGACATGAGAAACCCATCCACATTACAATAACTCCCCCCAAAAAATGAATAAATAAAATATTTGGGAATTAATCTAACCAAGAAGTTGAAAGATCTCTAATGAAAATTACGTAACACAGAAGAAAAAAATCGAAGACACCCCTTAGAAGACAGAAAGCCATTCCATAAACTTGGATAAGACAAAATTAATTCTGTGAAAATGGCCATACTACCTAGAGCAATATATACATTCATATAATGTCCATCAAAATCCCAATGACATTCTTCACAGACCTTGTCAAAAACAACCTTAAAATTCATATGAAGAGATCCACAATAGCCAAAGCAATTCAGAACAAAAAGAGTGATGCAACAAGCATTATAATATCTGATCTGAAATTATACTACAAAATATCATACTAAAACCAGAATGGTATGGCATCAAAATAGATATGAAAACCAGTGGAACAGAATAGAATGCATAGAGATAAACCCACATACTTATAGCTTCTGATACTTATTTACCAAGGGGACCAAAAATAAAATTGAGGGCTGGGGATGTGGCTCAAGCGGTAGCGCGCTCGCCTGGCATGCGTGCGGCCCGGGTTCGATCCTCAGCACCACATACAAAATGAAGATGTTGTATCTGCCGATAACTAAAAAATAAATATTAAAATTAAAAAAATAAAATAAAATTGAATAAAAGAATCTTTTTAAATAGTGCTGGGAAAAATTGGATATTTTTATGTACAAAAATGGAATTAGATCCCCATCTTTCACCTTGCACAAAAGTCAAATTAGGATGAATTAAAGACTTAGGAATTAGACTAGAAACCTTGCAATTACTAAAAGAAATCACAGGGTCAACACTCCTATTCTAGGTGCAGGCACCAACTTCCTCAATAAGACTCTTAAAGCCCACAAAATAAAACCAAGAACCAATAAGTAGAAGGCCACCAACCTAAAAAGACTTCTGCACAGCAAAGGAACCAAGACAAAATTTTGGCTAGCTAATCCTATGATTGGTGATTAATATCCAGAATATACAAAAAAACTTGACACCAAAAAAAAAAACAACCCATAAAGGACCAATTAATAAATGGGCAAAAAGAGTTCTAAATAGAAATTTTTCATGAAAAGAAACTGAAAGGGCCAATAAATGTATTTAAAAATGTTCAACACCTTTAGCAATCAGGGAAATGCAAACCAAACTACACTAAGATTTCATTTCACTCTAGTCAGAATGGAATTATCAAGAACATACACAATGGGGCTGGGATGTGGCTCAAGCGGTAGCGTGCTCGCCTGGCATGCGTGCGGCCCGGGTTCGATCCTCAGCACCACATACAAACAAAGATGTTGTGTCCGCCAAATACTAAAAAATAAATATTAAAAAATTCTCTCTCTACCTCTATCTCTCTCACTCTCTCTTTAAAAAAAAAAAAAAAAAAAAAAAGAACATACACAATAATAAATGCTGGCAAGGATGTTGGGAAAAACAGACATTGTTGGTGAGACACCAAATTAGTGCCACCAATTTGGAAAGCAGTAATGGGGCTTTCTCAAAAGACTAAGCCTGGAATTATCGGAGCTGGGGTTGTGGCTCAGTGGTGGCGTACTAGCCTGGCATGCATGAGGCACTGGGTTTGATCCTTATTATAAAGACAATAAAATCCATCAACAAAAAAAATATATATTAAAAAAAAAAAAAGACTGGAACTACCATTTGATCCAATTTTAACTTATTGGTAAAAGAACTCAAATCAGAATACTATACCAGCACAATTCACAAAAGCCAGTCCAGATGCCTGTCAGTACATGAATGGATTAAAAAAATGTTGTATATACACATAATAAGATTTATTCAGCTATAAAGGAGGACAGAATTTATGACATTTACCAATGAACGAATAGAAATAGAATAGAGAACATCATGCTAAGTTGAACTAAATTAGGCTCAGAAAATCAAGGATTAAATGTTTTCTCTCATATGGGGAATCTGGAGCAAAACTGGGGAAATGTGGTGAGGGCTGGATATCATAAATATATATATGGAAGGCCACTGGAGTAGAAGATCAAGAGAAAGAGAGAAAGGACAGAAAAGAGAAGGAAATAAAAAATGAATTTACCAAAATCACATTATATGCTTATAAAAATATACCACAGGGAATTTCACTTTTAGGTGTATGTACAAAGTACCAACCAAAAATAAAAAGCAAAAGGAATACAATATAGTAGAGGAAGAAGAGGGAAGGAAGAGGTAAGGGGTAGGAGGAGGAATCTGGATTGAAATCAAATCCCTTGCATATGATTTTTGCCAAAATCATTCCAACTAAAATCTCTAATTGTAATAGAATACTGATACATGCTACAACATGGATAAATCTTAAAAATATTATACTAATTGAAAAAACCCAAACAGAAAACACCAGACATAGGACTTTATTTGTATGAAAGATACAAAATAGGGAATGATAGAGAAGACTATTGTTTCATTATGACATGAAGAAAATGTCCTAAAACTGACTGTAGTATACTGGTTGCACAGCTCTGTGAATACATTAACACTACTGAACTATACATTTTAAATATGTGACCATACATTTTAAATATATGAAAAATATATACAAGGTTTTGTTGAAAATAATACTACATCAAAATAAATCTATGTATTTTTTGGATTTAAGAAGATTTCATTTTTAATTGTTTCTTTCCACTTCAAATTATTCATGAAAACCAACTATAATTCTACTACATTAAATTAATCATATATTCAAAAATATACATGCTAAAAATTAATCTGCTGCTTTACTTTTACTTGTGAATCCAATATAAAATAATGAAGATGTACAGTTGGTTCTCCAATTCCAATGTTTTTGTATCCATAGACTGACCAAAAGCAAATCAAAATCATTTAGGAAAAACAAAAAAGTAGCTCTCTGCTAAACATGCAGATTTTTATGTCCCCTTGTCAGTATTCCCTAAATGATACAGTTCAGTAAATTCTTCTTTGTGAAGAATTTACATTGTTTTAGGTATTATATGTGATTCAGATGTAATTTAAAATATGCAAAGCAATGTGTATAAGTCATATGTAAACACCATGCCATTTTATATAAGGGTCTTGAGCAATTGTGGCATTTTCTAGGGGTTTGAAATCCCTAACAGGTACCAAACAATGACTATAGGTGTCTGTCCTTCATCATGAACTCTATCCATGGTTCATTTTCCCCTCTTAAGTAGCAATAACTTAAAAAGAATAATTGTTGGTTTCTTTTCTCCACACCCACCCCTTTCATTTTTAAAAATTACATTTATATTAACTCGGAAATCAATTGCAGTTAAAAGCTAATTAAAACTAAAATACCTCATACAAAATGCACATGCTATACTCTGTATGTTCTAACTTTAGAATTAACATTTGTCAGGCAGGGATTGTGGCTCAGCAGTAGAGTGCTCGCCTAGCATGTGTGAGGCCCTGGATTTGATCCCCAGCACCACAGAAAAAATAAATAAATAAGATAAAGGTATTGTGTGCAACTATAACTGAAAAAAAACTTTTTTAATTGGCATTTTTGTCAGTAATAAAAAAGAGAGCAAAATAACTGGGTATCAGGATGCATGCCCATATGTAATCCCAGCTGCTTGAAAAGCTAAAATAAGGATCACAAGCTCAAGGCCAGGTTGTGCAGCTTCCCAAGATCCTGCCTCAAAATAAAATTTGAAAGGCTTAAGTCAATGTAGCTTGGAGGTAGAGTGCCTAATGTGCAAAATGCTGGGTTTAACCCTCAGTTTTAGGGAGATAAAGGAAGTGGGGTGTGGGAGGCAATGGAGAATAAAATTTATATTGATCATAATTCATCCCAAAATGGAAAATTGGAATTCAAATTTGTACCAACCTTCCAGTAGTCAGCCTGTAAACTGTAGTATCTCTGATATGCAGATAATGCTGAAAACAAAATAATAATAATAATAATAATTAATTAAATCATTTCACAATTGAAGATCTACAATAAGATATTAAGAAACACTTTATTAGAAGTTGCCAGGACTGCTCATCTATCAACAAACTACCTGACATAAAAACCAACTAATACAAATTTTGTGGCTTAAAAACTGAGTCAGGTGTATAGAAACATGACTAAATCTCACCCATGTATTTGAACAAATGTAAAATCTTGGCATTTACTTTCATCAACTTTTCTTCTCTTGGAAATGAAGAACAATGGAAATTTTCTAAAGCTCATACATACTACAGTGAATCTTCTCAATTTTTTCTTAACATTTCTAACAAGTCAAGTAACTCTTAGTTGTGATGTTTCCCTTTACAATGTCTTTGGACCCTGTTTTCAGTTTAATTCCAATATAGTTATGCCCTCCTCTCAACCCATCTAAAGGAGCAACATTTTCTCAAGTCACATAAAGTAGTTTCTGACAGATGAAAAGGAAAATCAGAAGCTATATAAGCATATAAGAATTAAGACATTCAAAATATTTTTAAAAAGGAAAATACTCTATCACTGTCTAACTGATAAGCATGTATTTAAGTTCCCTGGGGTTAACTTTAAACTGAAAATGACCTTAAAGTAAAAAGAAAAAACTTAAATGAAAGCAGTGTCACACCAAAGGAACAGCATACTATAGTATGCTGTAGATTTTTATAACTTGCATATTTTTATGAATTTCAGATGTCTTTATAATAGAAATGTAAATTATATCTGAAATCCTTTAAAATTTAAACCACAATTTTTTTAAGTCTAATAAGAAACATTTGCTTTTTCAGTTTTAATGCTAAAGAGACAGCAGTATATGTAAGAATCACAATGCAGGCTATATTTCATGTCTGAAAATTTTATGACTAAAAACAAAAACATAGAAGAAAATGACTTTGAAAGATAGCCTAAAGGATCCACAAATCCTTCCGGAAGAAAAGCAAACAAATGGTAAAAATTACCTTTAAACTATCACTTAAAAGTCTCTGGAAATTGTCTTTTAAGAACACCAACCAAATGAAAACATGCTTGCATAAGAAAATCTATATAATATCAAAAGAACAATAAGAATGTATAGCATTTAGTCATAAATCATTCCTTCTCACCATTCCCACTTCACACCTTACCCACTAGGATTCAACTATGATAATCTTAAAAACACTGAGTTCTTTCTCCTTGCCCAAGTGCCTGTTTTAGGGCTTGAAAATCTCCCCAAGAGGGTGCCAATATTTATCTTCACCATCTGGCTCCATATTCCAAGCAAAAGCAAATGACAATGGTATTGCTTTGATCTATACACTCACTCTTACAGAGCTGAACCTGAATCAAGTGATAGCAGACCAAAACTATACCCACCCTTAGCCCACATAACTCAGAGAGGAAGATTTCATACTGGGAGAAGCAGTATGAGAAAGATCAAGACTTTACTCCAAAAAGCAGAAGACTATTCTAAGAAAAACATTTAATATCCCAGGCTCCAGCCCTCAAAAGGAGAAGTTCGGGCTGGAGTTGTGGCTCAGTTGTAGAGTGCCTGCCTAGCATGTATGAGGCACTGGGTTCAATTCTCAGCACTGCATATAAACAAAAAAATAAATATCCATCAACAACTAAAAAAATATACTGAAGAAAAAAAAAAAGCAAAAGTTCCACTCTGAAGGCTAAGGCAGGAGACTTTTGAGTTCAAAGCCAGCCTCAGGAAAAGTGAGGTACTAAGCAACTAAGTGAGACCCTGTCTCTAAATAAAATACAAAATAGGGCTAGGGATGTGACTCATCTAGTGTCCTTGAGTTCAATCTGTCATATTTATGCCCCTCCCCCACCATCCCCAGAAAAGAAGCTTAAAAATTATTTTTTTCCATCTAGGAAAAAATAAGTAGGTCCACTCTCACCATTCATATAATACAGTGCTAAAAATTATATTCAGAGAAATTAGAAAAGGGGAAAAAGAAGTGATAAAAACAGGAAAGAAAGAAGTCAAATTATCACAGTTTGCAGATATGATCCTATAGCTAGAATTTCAAAAACTCCACGAAAACACGATTAGAGCTAATAAATTTGACAAAGTAGCAGGATGAAAAATCAATATTCAAAAATCAATAGCTTTCCTACATACCAGCAATGAATCTACTAAAAAAGAAATCAGAAAGCAATCCCATTATAATAGCTTCAAATAAATAAATAACCCAGCTAACCAACCTAGAAATAAATCTAACCAAGAAGGTGAAAGACCTCTGCAATGAAAACTGTTAACACCGAAGAAAGAAATTGAAGAAGACCTCACAAGATGGAAGAACCTCGAATATTCAATGATATAAAAACCCATATTGTTAAAATGGTCATAGTACCAAAAGCAGTATATAAATTCAATTCAATCCTCATCAAAATACCAATTACTTATTCACAGTACAAGGGGAAAAAAAAAGACTAATGGTGAATAGAAGACACAGAGACAAACTTACACATCTACAGTCATCTGATTCTTTTTTTTTTTTTTTTTTGCTTTTTTTATTTTTTATTTTATTTTTAGTTGTAGTTGGACACAATAACTTTATTTTATTTCTTTCTCTTTTTTTTTTTTTTTTTTGAGAGAGGATTTTAACATTTATTTATTTATTTTTAGCTTTTGGCGGACACAACATCTTTGTTTGTATGTGGTGCTGAGGATGGAACCTGGGCCACACGCATGCCAGGCGAGCGCGCTACCACTTGAGCCACATCCCCAGCCCAGTCATCTGATTCTTCACAAAGCTGCCAAATACATATTAAATTAAAATTAATAAATGGACCTGGGGAAACTGATTACCCATATGTCAGAAGATTGAGATTACACCTTTATCTCTCACTTTGCACACAAAAAAAATCAACTCAAAGTGGATCAAAGACTTAGGAATTATACATGTATGAAGACATGAATGATGTGACTCTACTTTGTGTACAACCAGAGTTATAAAAAATTGTGCTCTATATGTATAATATGAATTGTGATGCATTCTGCTGTCATATATAACAAATTAGAATAGAATAGAATAAAATAAAAGACCTAGGAATCAGACCAGAAATTATGCTACTCCTAGAGGAAAAGTTAGGGTCAACACTCCAGCATACAGTCACAGGCAATGACTACTTCAATAGGATCCTTAAAGCTTAGGTAATAATGCCAGGAGTTAATAAATGGATGGCATCAATTAAAAAGCTTCTTCACAGAAAAGGAAAATAAGTATGTGAAGAAAGAACCCACAGAATGGGAGAAAATCTTTACTAGCTCCTCCTCTGAAAGTCAAAGATTAATATCTAGAATATATAAAGAAATCAAAACACACCAAAAAACTCAAATAACACAATAAATGGGCAAATGAGTTAAACAGACAATTCTCAAAAGAAGAAATAGCCAACAAGTTTTTTAAAAACTGTTTAATATCATTAACAACTTGAGGAAATGCAAATCAAAACTACACTGAGATTTTATCTCATACCAGTTAGAATGGCACTTATTGTGAATACAAATAACAGTAAATATAAATGCTGGAGAAGATTATGGAGGAAAAAAGAACATTTTTACATTGGTGGTGGAATTGTAAATTAGTACAACCACTACAGAAATCAATACAGAGAGTGCTGAGAGCCATAGCCAAGTAGGAATGACACATGGCATTTTTGGTTGAAAGGTGACCCCAGCAAGCCATTGAGATGATAATGATTATGTTAAGATGTGCATTCAATTGGAGATTAGACCCCTGCTGTCATCCTTGGCCTGCTACTTTGGAGCTCTCCCTGGACTCCCAGAGAGTTCCCATTGGTTGGGGAAGTGCAGTAGGAGGGAATTCTGGAGGAGGGATTTCCTGTTGGTGCAGTGTGTCCCAGGAGAAGGCCGCGTGGGATTCGCGGGAGGTTTGGAAATAAAGCTTGTTCCTGCTTGAATGATTTTGTGCCCAGCCAGACTGCAGCAAGAGAGTCCTTAAAAAAACCAAGCATGGAACCACCATATGATGCAGCTATATCACTCCTTAGTATTTACTCTGAAGAATTATAATCATCCTACTATAGTGATACATACGTACCCACGTTAATGGCAGCACAAGACACAGTAGCCAAACATGAAACTAACCTACATATCTATCAATGGCTGAATGGATCAAGAAAATATGGTACATATTCAAAATGAAGTTTATTCAGCCGTAAGGGAAAATGAAATTATGGCATTTGCAGGAAAATAGACAGAACTATAGATCAATATGTTAAGCAAAATAAGTCAAACAAAAGGCTAAGGGTTGTATATTTTCTCTCATATGAGAAAGCTAAAGAGGGAAAATGGAAAAGAAAAGGTGGTGATTTCAGGAAAATCAGGACAGGTAAGGGACCTAGGGTGGGAAAGGGGAAGGAAGAGGAAGTGATAGGGAGTGACACTGGCAAAATTATATTGTTATGTTGTATACATGCATGAATATGTAACAATACATCCTATCAGTATATATAACTATAATGCACAAATTAAAAATACATGAGAAGAAAAAAAAAAACCCTGCATTTTTCCAGAAGAAAATGAGATGATATATTTAAAATGCTATAAAATACTGCAAATCAAGAAATTTAAAAATATGCACCAAAATTATTTTTCAAAAATGAAAAAGAAACTAAAACATTTCAGATAAAAAAACTAGGCCAGATAAAAACGGAGATGGCTCACAACCAGGATGCTTGTTCAAATGCTAAAAAGATTAAAATTTGAAATTAAGACATTACACACTGACGTGAAGTTATATTTAAAGGGGGGGAGGGCTGGGAATATAACTCAGTTGGCCTCACTTGCATAAGGCCCTGGGTTCAATCCCCAGCAACACACACACACACACACACACACACAGAGTGATTAAAGAGTATCTATTTTGGGGCTGGGGTAGTGACTCAGTGGTACAGCACTTGCCTAGTATGTGTGAGGCACTGGGTTCAATTCTTACAC